TACTTCGGCTTAAATTTATTTAATAGGTTTTTTTTTTCCGTCAACTTGGTGTTTGTTGGGGGCAAACCAAAAAAAAAACCGGGTAACCAAAAATGTACTCCGAGTTACCCGATCAATTAATGAGTCATTGGCGCAAAAGTACGGCAACGTGACACAGAATACGGTGACATTTAGATTAAGTACCACATGAATTACACAAGGATCATTGATCGTAACATTTATCACATCCCAATACACGTCATCGATAGTATACCGGAACTTTGTACGAACAATTTTACGGCAATTTTAGGGCTTATAACGTCCCGTTAATAGAAAAGAACGATTTGTTCCTTTCGAATTGCAAGTGTTGGTATCGAACATTTTATGATATAACCAACTTTGCTAGGCGACTTGGGAGACGATCGTCATTGTCATAAGACTAAATGAAGCATGCTAAGATTACGTCGTGCTGTCACTGCATATATATATATATATCAGAGATGATAAATAGATAAACGTGCATACCATTTTATCCTGGCCAGTCAACCTGTTGCCCGGTCAGAATAAATGTTCTCCTTCCGTAAAATCAGAAATGTTATGTCTTTTCATTATCCACACCTTTGGATCTATAACAATTTGCACTGGCAATAAGGATTCCAAAAACTCTTTTGTATGATTCAGGTCAAAGTTTTGGAATAAGCTGAGCCAGTTTTGTACGACAATACTTGGATTTTTCAATAGTATTTTTTCGTACCCATATATGACATCAATAATTTCGAAATAATCTCCGTGAAATTGGGGTATAGAAGTCAAAAGATGCGTATATACTGTGTAATCAATAGGCAATGAATGTGATTCGTTCTTATAGTACATCCAGTCATGCCGTAATTGGCCAAATCTGGATGCACCAGTCATTGCGGTATACACATCAAGATGTATCCGTGCTAGATGATCAAACATGTTGATATTTTGACTATTAGCAACTAAACACTATGCGAAACACTATGCAGTAAAGCTATATAGCATAATAAATAAATATTCACCTTTGGTATAGTCTTTCTGAATGACATGTATTTTTTGTAAGGCTACCCCACCAGGATAATTATAACTAGAAACAATGACCATTGCAGTGCTTATTGAAAACCCAATTATAACAAGAGTAGAAATAAATCGGTTTATAAATATGAGTCGTGAATATTTTTGCTTACTAATAAAGGTATTAAAATAATATGCAATTAGCTAATGTTGTAAATTGTTATAATTATAAAGATCGAAATTAAGAACTATACATTGTTACCCATCCGATAGCTGCGCACAAATTTAAAATCGGTACCACATAAATGATAAACCGCCATTCTTTATGACCAAGGAAAGAGAATCCAACCAAGAAAGCAAGCATGGGTATCAAGAGTCTAAACGTACGACGGTCGTAAAACATCGAAAATATGCATAACGGAAGAGATGTCAACAGTAGCCTCGGGAGAAACACCGTGAAATATGTATGAAAAGGTAATACCTAATCATAATTCGATTATTAAAAAAAAAAAAACCCCCCGATTAATAAAGGCTGTTATCGAATTTTGGGATCTTGTACAGCATTGGGGATACCATTAATA